ACGATTATCGTTTTCGTGATGTTGCTCCAATCGCTGCTGATGTACTGGCAACGGTTCGGGTCCGCGTCCGTTTCTATCTTCCGCTGTTGTTTAAACGCTTTCTTTCTTCTCGTCGCCGTAGCTTTTTTGTCCGCCAGTGGGGTGAGCGTGGTGTCGTTGCGTCTGTTGTTGATGGTCGTTTGGTAGTTCACTTGTAAGCTCTGTTTGTTGTTTGCCGGGGGTTGGCCCCCTGCGTTTCTGCCTGGCCCTTTTATTTGCCTCGCAGGGTTTCTCACTGATTGTCGTTTGCCGTTAGCCCTTGTTTCTTTGTTTTTTTTTTCTGGATGTTGGTCCCCTGTCCCTTTTTCTCCATCTCATAGCGCGCCATCAGCTTCTTGGGGTCCTTCCCGGTCGTGTGTCTGTTGTTAGTTAGTGCTTAGTTATCGCCTCTCGTGTCTTTTAACTTGTCCAGTTGCGCGATTTTGCCTTCTGTCATGCTTGTCCAGTAACGTACTTGTTTAAGGGGTGGCGGGGCTCATTACTCCGGCGACTTTTGGCATGCTTGTGCACCCATCCTGAGGCATGTTAACCTGTAATGTATAGGTGGTGTCGTACAGTGCTGTGTCTCTGTTCTTTGTTGCTAAATGCCTGGGTGACTTGGCAGTGCACTCTGCCATGTATGCCCGCCTCGAAACAAACAAAAAAAAAAAACACGGGTTTTCTCCGGTCACTGACCGACGGAAATGCCATGCTGGTGAGCCCCAGTAAGGGAGAAACAGCTGTCCATGGATGCCACTGCCCGCGTGATATGGCTGTGCGCATGCGCATGATATGGCCAGGCCGTGGGTTGGTAAATGTGTGCCACTTGCTTTAACTTAGTGGTAACTCGTGATCCACCTTCCCCGCGCATGTCGTGGTAGAAATGCTGCGCGGTTCCCAGCCAACAGCTCCCACATGTGTTGTGTGGAGCTTGCGTTTGATAGACTGCTTTTCACACACCTCGGCAGTAAGGGGTTTTTGAGACGCGGGTTTTCCCCGTTTAGCAATTATATAACCCAACGGCCTTGCCACGCTGGTGGTCTCCAATAATGGTAAAACAGTTGTCTGTGGCTGCCACTGCCCGCGCGATATGGCTGTGCGCATGCTTCAGGTACTTGCCCGACCGTGGGTTGGTGTATGTGTGCCCCTTGCTTTAAGGTGGCTCGATACAGTTTTTTAGGGCCAATACGTCCCAAGTTTGAGCATAAACTACGTCGCCATAAACAAAGTTTTGGAAAAATTGCCACCACAGTTGTATTAGATGAAGATGAAAATTTGTTATGATCAGGGTTGCAACGGCATCAGACTTGTCATAGCAACGAAGTGACGCTATTACCTATTTTACTTGCAGCAGTATATCTCGGCACTGGGAACTGTTCTTCGAAAATCATTCACGGGAGCTTTTTCCTCCAACAGCAGCCTCGATGTTCGTGAGGTTCAAGCGAAATCTGTAAGAGCGTTATCGAGATCTTTTGGGATAAAGATTTTGTGGTTAGAAATACTGTAAAAAATGGACAATCTTGGTGTTCGGCTGTTATCTGTAGAAAACGAAGCGCTTTTGACATGCAATTTCACCTCATAGTAGTTTCAATCTTTTTAAAAACGTGTGTGAAAGATCAAGGAGATAGCTCCAGCCGCTTGCTAGAAAGAAGGATTTGATTAGTATGTATCGAGGCGCTCTTGTTAGCGGTTTTTTGAACATTTCGGTCTTCTTTAACAAATTAGCGAATAATTTCTAAACCGCTCGATAGATTTTTTTAAAAATTTAAGATTCTTGAGATTAACCTTCCTTTTATATGACCTTTTAGTTTCAAGATTATTGATATATTGTAAGGCAGTAAAATAAGGGCTACAGTTCGCTAATATTTTGGCAGAAATTTTGTGTTTACAAGTGTGAGCCTCTCATTATTCAGGGTATTGTGTCCAAGTTTCATATTTTCGTGCACAACAAAAGCTAGCATTTTTGCATATTTCAAATGCATTGTTAGTTACTGCTGTTCACGTGAAAATGAAACTTGGAAACAATACCTTGAATAATTAGAGGCTTTCACTTGTAATGACGAAACTTCCGATAAAAAAGTAACGAATTGTAGCCCTTATTTTACTGCCTTACAAAATATCAATAATCTTGAAACTAAAAGGTCATATAAAAGGAAGGTTAATCTCAAGAATCTTAAATTTAAAAAAAAAAATCTATCAAGCGGTTTAAAAATTATTCGCTAATTTGTTAAAGAAGACCAAAATGTTTACAAAACCGCTAACAAGAGCGCTTCGATATATACTAATCAAACCCTTCTTTCTAGCAATCGGCTGGAGCTATCTCCCATTATCTTTCAAACACGCTTTTAAAAAGATTGAAACTAGTATGAGGTGAAATTACGTGTCAAAAGCGCTTCATTTTCTACGGATAACGGGCAAACAACAATATTGTCCATTTTCAATGTGTTTCTAACAATAAAAACATTATCGCAATATATTTCGATAACGCTCTTACAGATTTCGCTTAAACTTCACGAACATCGAGGCTGCTATTGGAGGAAAAAGCTTCCGTGAATGGTTTTGGTAGAGCAGTTCCCAGTGCGAAGATATACTGCTGCAAGTAAAATAGGCAATAGCGTCATTTCGTTGCTATGTCAACTTCGATGCCGTCGCAACACTGATCATAACAAATTTTCATCTTTATCTAATACAACTGTGGTGGCAATTTTTCCAAAACTTTGTTTTTGGCGACGTAGTTTATGCTCAAACTTGAGAGGTATTGTCCCTGAAAAACTGTATCGAGCCACCTTAAGTTTGCCCTATTTTCAATGCAATCGAATTAAGTTCAATCAGAAACTCATAAGGGGTTGAAACGTGTAACTCTCATATGTTTTCTTTGTCCGATGCTCGTGATTATTAATTTTCGAAAGTACCATATTTGGAACGAGAAGAAGAGACAACTGACCAATCAAACTTCGTAAACAACGTGACGTAATTTTACTTTACGTTCCCGCGCCCGCTTAAAAAAATGGCTGACAAACGGGGGAAAAACTCCTGAAAGCCGAGAAAGCTTTCAAAGGTTGAAACCAGGAATCTTACCGAACTACTGAGAAGGATATTATTGCCTTACCACCCAGGCCAAACGTAACATTATGAAACCCATTGACGTCCTCGCAACTTCTTGAAGTTATCACTTCAAAAAACGATGCCTCGTTGACCCTCTGCACAGTAAACTTATACTGCAATTCTTATATAACTAGTCTAGAATAAAAAAAAACTTTTTTCGAATAAAATTCATTAGCTGCGTATCGAAAAGTGTCCAAAACCTGAACCTGACATCTTCGAAAAAAGTGATGCGTGTAAGTAAATGTGAGAAGGATTTAACTCATTCTTATCACTTTAAGCTTAAATTCAGCTTCGATGTGGTCACGCTCGTGTTTTGAGCTAATTTCATGAATGAATAAAGTCAAAACAAATAGACAAGGAAGCCGTTTCTTGAAAATTTTTATTCAACATACAAAACTTTAATCCTTTAAAGCAATTCGGGAAACACTATCTGGATCGTGGATCCGTAACGCAAGTGAAATCGACTGAGCACATGGAAAAATTCAACACAAAATCCATCTCAAATCGGGGCACATTTTGTAATTTTTCTTTAGCGCCGAAGAGAAAAATTTATAAAACGTCTATGAAACATTTAAAAATACATAAATTCCCTTTCAAAAACGTAATTGTCTTGGCCATAGAGTGCAAAATATACCTTTAAATTCAGCAAAACTTCACTGCCTTGGTTGCATTTCAAAACAGACCATGCGCTCCGTCGTGAAGAAAACAAGGTTGAATTCCTCGAAGGACGATTTCTTACTGAAAAGCTTCCCTTCCTCCACAAAAAGAAAGCTGAGCATTCTTTTGAACTTTCTCTTTCCATTTTTTGTCTTTTAACGGTGTATTTTTAACCTTGAAATGCAGATTTCTTGTCTTAAAACATCTGCATGGTAATCGCGCGGCAGCCATTTCTTTAAAATGGATATCTGTCACTAAGGTTTCCAAATATGGTCAAAATGAATATTCACGAGCATTGAAAGCGAGTTACACGTTTCAACCCCTTATGAGTTTCTGGTTCAATCCATTCTTCATCAATCACTGTATTTCATGACATTTCTAAACAAATTCAACAGCGCGCGCGTATAGGTAAAATTATTACACCGGAGATGAGCCGTTTAAGATACCACGATGGCTGACGGCCTCGAAAACGTCGCTTGAAAAGTGAATTCGCGTTTTTTCAGTCTCTATCGTGATTATTCCAACACGCTTACTTTGTGAAATGTAATCGTACTCCTCTGGAGCTGAATTCATATCAAACATATCCAAGTTCAGAAAGAGAAAGGAAATTTTTTCATTATTGCTTGTTTACGTCCATTAAAAAACGTGAAATTAGGCATTTTCACGGGGTAGTCGTGTAGTGACGGCAAAGAAATGTCCAAAAAGCGTGATGCACGTGCAAAGTTGTTGTTTTGCCTTGTCAAGCTATTGCTTTTTTGACGTTCTCGTAGTCGTCACCGTCGTGACATCTTAAACTCCCTGTTATTTACGATACCTTGTGATCAGTCAGAAACATAATTTTCTCGGCGCAAATTGAAATGCTCCTGCTGATAGCAACCGAAATGCTTTTTCGGCTCGTCGGTAGTTTCTTCGTTTTTGGTTAGGAAAGTAGAAAATGACAGAAACTTGGTGAGCGAACCGGACAAGTATGGCGAGGAGCTTAAGCAACAATAACGGCAACGGCTACGAAAACGTAATAATAATAACAAACCAATCTTTATTTAAGTATTCAGAGCAATAAGTAATATTTACAATTTTAAACTATATCGTATTGTTTACAAATTAAAACTAAATATATGTCCCCGATAGAACAACTATTTACAATTGTGAATAATTTAAAAGTGGGCAAAGGAAAATTAAACATTACTAAGAAAAAAACTATCAAAAATCTAGGCCTAAAA